AAATAGACCATAAAGCAGAGTATGGTTTAGGGCGTGGAAAACTGTCAAACTAAGCAGTGCTGATTAGATAAGAATCCTGATTCTGTTGTTGCGTTGACTATTTCTCACCTAAAATCTTTTCACAAACATATGTTATTATACTGTTTATCTGGAATACGAGATTGCGTGTGACCAGGCGAGCCAGCATTGTTTCCTCCTACAGACAAGTTGAAACTGCGCAGCCAATGAGAGCAGCTCAACTTGCAGTACGTAACCTCCGCTAGCTGCAAAAAAATGTTGACGGCCATAATATCAAACTCAAGGCTTCAAATGGTACTTCACAAACTGACATAGACCAGAAGACTGTACTATACACTGACAAAACTACAGTTTAAAGTATTTTCTATTTATCTTCTTATATTTGGTACATTCATATTTGATATTTTGTTACATTCCTAATTGAAGTGAGTAATTAAGATGAGATGTTCCTTTATTGATACCCTGTGGATAAATAAAATTTAAAAAAAGTATTAATATATTGTTATTTGGATATGATATAACCTATATCGGGATATGAGACATTGGTCATATTGCACAGCCCTACATACACACAAGAACCAAAGTGCACAGATATTTTAGCCAGACTAACATGATCAGAATCAAAACCTCCTCTCCACTTATTCACATGGAAGATAGAAAACAGTTTAGGGTGGGTTGTGAAATTGCAATGACAGCAGTGTTATTCTTCCTCGCCCAGGGTTTCCCCACCATGCATGTTGGATTGCACTCTGGCCAGAGACAAAGCGGGTAATTGGATTCACATTGTGTCTGCGAGGGGAAGCAGGGAACAAACCCAACCTCTCCCCAGGCTGGCCCATGGCGGCCAGTGTGATGGTGATGTTGTACTGACCCTGCCTTTCAGGGGTCACAATGGAGAATTATAGTGTCAGCTGTCAAGCTGAGACTCATATTCTGCCCAGAGGTAAGGCACATACAGTACACAGCTCCAGAGGACTGAACCAGGCTCTCTTTCTCTCTCACTCGCACCCACTGCATAGCCCTGCTCTCATTGGTTTGTGGGCCTATTGTTGCCCTCCAGGGGTGAGAGAGGGGAGAGAAATAACCGGTTACAACAGAGCTTAGCCACTGAGTGACAGACATTAAGAGTCGATGGCTGCTGGAACATCACTTTATACTCACTATACAAACACGGGTAAAAGGCGAAAAATGGCCCTCAAAACGACAGTGGTAAAGACTGTTGGTGTCCAACCCCCACAACATTGGTGGCACTCGAATCAGATGTCAATGTAAAATCTGACAAATTAATTGCTTAACTTTTCCTCAAGAAAGTTGTTTAGCAGAGGTGGTAAGCCACCCACTTCCTGACAAATTGTCGTGTCATTACTTTAGTTGGTAGATAACGGCCTCAACCAGGGATCTTAAACTGCTGGCCCGAGGGCCAGTTCTAGCCCTCCATTCTTCTCCCTCCAGCTCACAACATGATGTCAAAAATATAATATATTCTGCCCTGCAACATTATTAGGGACCGAGCCAGCGACCGCTGGGAGGCCCTATTGTATCTCTAGGAATTATTATTATTTGCTGCACTTCGACTGCATATTTGGCGGCCGCAACATGCTCGAAAGCTCATGGAAATTTGCACAAAATTCAAACGTGGCAAAAACACACATATACAATTGTCCTCGTGCACAGGCACCGCCAAATGGCGCGGCACCGCCAAATGGCGCAGCCCCGCCCCCTCGAATCAGCCCCCAAGACCTGTAAGGCCGACATGTATGAAAATCGGTACGCATGTGTATCGTGATAAAAGAAGCAGAAAAGCCTCTTGGACCCATACCCGAAACCCAACAGGAAGTCGGCCATTTTGGGATTTTGTGGTCATTTCTGGGCGAATTTTTCGCCGTTGCATTGCATGCAGGGAATTTATCGGATCGACTCCACATTTGGACACAGCCATCTAAAGACATTCACGATTAAAAGTTGCGCTATTTACGACATTCCGTTGAACAGTGTGGACGTGGCGTGGCGTCCCGTGGCGTCCAATTTCGATCCTTCGCCATGAAAACAGAAAGTTGTCATAACTTCTGTGCAGGCCCCGACGTAGGTTGATGGCGAGGTCCCACCCAATGCTGTAAATGCTTTAATTTATATTATATTTTATAATATTTTATTTTGTGATATCTTGTACCTCGACTTCCGTACTCTTTCTTGCATTACATTGCCCTATGCTGCTGTGTCAATTTTGAATTTGGGGGATCAACAAAGCTACATCTTATCTTATCTTATCTTTGTGTCCTGATATAAGAAAATAACGGACATGGCAGAGAAAGCTTGTATGATAGAAATATTCGCCTTGGCCTTTCTCATTTTCCTGTATTATGGCACCTTGTCATGATGTGTATTTAATAAGCAAAACTACAAGCTTAAACTACATCAACTGTCATGTCAACTTGCTTAAATTAGACAAACTGTATGCTAGCTAACGCAGACGGACCGGTAACGAAACAGTGTGATCAATATCATTATTTTTTTTTTATTGTCTGTTTTGATTTTGTTTAGTTTGCATTACAAAGTTAACACACACTTCTGCACCACTGATAATGCTGTGTACATTGAATGAGCTCAATACCAGACTATTATTTAGCAGTAGCATCTGTTATCGTTGCTGAGCCAAAAACAAATCCATAACTCAGGCGATACATGCAAAGTACATTTGTTTAGCATTACATATTGTAAACATATAATAAAATAAAACCAAGAAAATATAATTTGCATTCGTCATCAATTTATTTTTTCATGAATCAATACTGATGTAATAGTTCAGGTCCACACTGTGCACAGGTGATTGCACAAGCTCTTTATTCTGAGATGTTTACAGAAAGGTTGGGTAGCACGCTGGTCCAGAAATGCACGTAACGCATTCTCATCTTCTGCCTTACATAGTTCTTGTTCATTTTAGAATTGATCTCGAGGAACTGGTGTCCAGTGCTGGTGAATTTTGGCCAGGTAGCAGGCACGCTCAGACCTCCTTTGTTGGGGTCTCTGTGGACAAAACCAGAGAAAAGGACCAATGAGGCAGTTTCAATTTTCTATCTCCATGTCTGATACAGGTTTGTTGGATTTCTGTCATGCTTCTATGTCTTGTGTCTGCAGAAATATACCCAGTTTTTGCGAAGTTGGTCCAGTAGGCGATCATATAGCCGGAGACATCACGGTGGCTAGGCCAGTAGGCCAGTGGGGTGGTGAAAGGCTTTCCAAACACATACTGCAGGTCATCAGCATGATCAGCTCCCATCCAGCTGGGGTAGGGCCTGCCAATGCCGCCCATACGGTTGGGCTGAGAGAAGAGATAGGAGTAGGTGCGGCCAGTCCTTTGGTGAAACAAGGAAAGCATAGAGATGTGACAAAGACTAAACCAAAGAAGCTCCAAAAGCTGATTAAATCTTCGAAAATCCCAAATTATCGACATCCCCTTGCTTCTAAGTATATACAGTATCGATGTTTGATTCTGCTTTTGCAATGAACCCACTACATATAAAAGACAGCATATATCTATGGAAGCTGAAGCATGCCATAAGATTATTTTTTTAAGTGGTGAATTAAAAGTCGATTCATTATTCTTTATGCAAATATCTGTAAAAATGCTCATTCAATTTTATCATATAAGAAAATAAAGGTAAACTGCTGGATATAATGTCATATTATAAAGCAAGGCGTGGGACAAAGGGGCTAATAAATACACTGACAGCAACATCTGTATAACAACATCTTATTCTCACGTGGCGTTGGCAGCATGAAGATAGAGGGAAGCCTGAGTAGGAACCAGGAAGATGTAGTCTGTCCCAATCTCCACAACGGTTTTCTTGATGGTCTCCCTATTGGGATTTGATCCCCAGGTTGAGGTGTATGTGGAGTAGGCGTTGTCCAAACCAGCCTTTCCCTTCTCCTTAGTGTATGACGCCAGGAGCCTTTTGACGTCCTCGCTGCAATCAGGAAGAGACGGTTTGAAAATTAGGTCTGATAAAATACCTTTCTGCCAGCAAAACTGTTAATACCACCACTGTTCTCAGAAAACTACAGTTTTGTTGTTCTGGGTAGATCCATTGCAGAATTGTCAATGTCTCACACTGTGATCTAATGACTTAAGCTCACATAGAGGTGTCGACCAGTTGGGAGTTGACTGAAGGAACATCTAAAGCAGTGAAGAGGTGTCCGTCCATGTCGTTGACTCCAGCGATGTAGTCGATGTCAGCCGCATTATGGAACAGATTGGAGGGCTCATCCGGCAGGAAGTCGCCATCGATCACAGGAGACAGGGCCAGGTTGTTTACGAGAGGGTCTGACAGAGGCAGACACAGTCAAATACTTCCTATATACATTACTAGCTGCATGATTTATACATAACTGGCACACCTAGCTGGAGAAACTTTGCCCTGCAACACCTGTGCACCCACAGATCTGTATCTGTAATTAATGCTTTACATACATGCATAAACTGTACGTATGAAAGGAATGGAGGCACCAATAAAATGGTTAGTTTTAATAAAACATTAGTGGAATTAAAAAGCTACTACTGTATGTGTTGCAGTTGAAATTTGTTACTGTGGCTGCAATGTCCACCGATGTACAGTGCAGAATTTATGCAGCCAGTCAGCAACTGGGTGTAGTCTTTGAGGTGTGTTCAGGTACACATTTTAGGCAGTGTGAGGCCACAAGCTGTCTGAGGTCAACTTGGTGTGGTGGTCTTTTTCACCTCTCCATTGGAGTGGTAGTTGATTTATGTATATCATGACTAATTTACTTATTCTGTTTCCTTTGCATTTCATTACATTTTGCTTTTATCTGTAGACTTTTCTGCATCAGCCAAAACGTTAAGATTTTTTGCAACATTTAAACTTCTAAATTCCCAACATTTCCACAATATTTACAGAAACCCTAATGTTAAATAACTTGCCAACAAACAATATATGCACCTTGTGTTCAGAGTACATGGAGAAATTCAAGAAGCATGAATGATCTTAGTCCTATTTAGAACATGTGATAGTGGTGCAGCTTCTTGTGGTCAGAATAAGTATTACAACAACAAGAAAATGTTTCACTATCGTGTCAAAACTTATCAGGCTTCTCTTCTCTCAGGGCTTCTGTAGAGGAATGTGGTAAAATAGCTTCATAGAAGGCATAAAAGCTGACTTCACTGGGTGTTTCTATCGTACAAAGCACTGACACAATGTCTAAAATGAAAATGCAAACTGTGCGGAGTGCAGTCCTTACGATCAGGTGAGCTGGAAATACTGAGACTGCCAGCCAACGTAAGGAGAGCAGGATCAGTCATCTTCAAACAGGCAGCCATAGACTGATCGGTGGGGCAGTTGACCTTCAGTGCAACCTGGCAAGAGGGTTCAAATCATCTTTAAGTGTTTCCCAACCCTAAAGTTATATCTACACAAATGAATTCCACTATTTTTTGTAAAAAGGTCTTAAAAGTTCCATAAAATAAGTAAAGCATGTCAGAGAAGCTGTCACGTACCTCCTCAGCGAACCTGCGGGGGTTCTTGTTGACAGCCCAGGGGCAAAGGGCGACCCCACTCTGGGAGATGGCTCTCTTGTACAGCCCTCTGTTGTGGGGAGTGAGAGTCTGTAGGCAGACAGAAAGAAAAAGTAAGAGATATTATATGTACGAATTGTGAATTTTACTATTATTATATATCTGTCATCCATCTATCATCTCACACAGTGAGCTAGACACCAAGAAGAAAGCCTCTCACCTGGAAGCTGACACTAGCTCCACCTGCAGACTCTCCAAAGATGGTGATGTTGTCTGGGTCTCCTCCAAATGAGCGAATATTCCTGTTCACCCAGGCGATGGCGGTGTGCTGGTCCCACAGACCATAGTTTCCTGACAAGGATCAAACTTTTAACTCAGTCACAGCAGGAATGTCTAATTATTATTTTATTTTTTGGGCTTTTTATTGCCTTTTTTTATTATAGTGACAGCTGAAGACAGACAGGAAAGGGGGGCAGAGAGAGAGGGGATGATACGCAGCAAAGGACCGCAGGTTGGATTCAAACCCTGGGCTGGGCCGCTGCAGCAAGGAATCAGGCTTGGTACATGGGTCGCCAGCTCTACCCACTGAGCTAACCGGGCGCCCAGGAATGTCTAATTTATTGTAACAATGTATAAATGTCACTGCACATACCAGGTAAGCCAGAGTCGCCAGTGCTCAGGAAGCCCAGAGAGCCCACACGGTATCCCAGCGTCACCACAATAACATCTCCTCTGTCTGCAATCTCCTGCCCGCTGTACAGATAGTTGTCCAGAAAGTTAGCACCCATCGAACCTCCAGCCAGGAAGCCTCCTCCATAGATCCAGACCATGACCGGCAGACCTGTGGACACTAGAAGACAGAGAGAGCCAGTTGAAGTTCAGATCTCATATAGACGACCCTCTGTGGAATTCTTTTAGTCGTTACCTGAGCGGCCGTGAGGAACCCAGATGTTAAGGTAAAGACAGTCCTCACTGCCTCTGGTGTCAGTCATGATAAGGTTCACCTGCATGCATCTCGGCCTATACTGAGTGGCCTTCAGGACGCCTGACGAGAGACACAAGCAGTGTGAGACTTTACCAGAATAAATTATGTTTTCATGACATATCATACAGTTTAGGCCTTTAGCTGATGCTCTACAGCTAGAAGATAAAACTTTCAATCAATTCAATTGAAGTTAAAGAGAAGGATTAGCACACATATCTTTGTGAAGTGAGTTATGTTTTTGGTTATCCATCTAAATATAATTTACAGCAAGTTCAATCAGTCTACCCACCGTCCCAGCCAGGGTGACGCTTTGGTTTCTCAAACCTTCCAGGAATGTCAGCAAAGGGAATCCCCTTGAAGATGTCCATGTGACGGCGGAAGCCAAGACGAATGTTCTCGCCTTGCACCATACCTCCCTCTGTGTACACCGTCCCGAGCTTCAGAGATTAAGCACAAAGAAATGCAAGAGATTGACTTGACTGGACTACTGTAGTCCACCAAAGAACAAACGTGCAAAGCTTACTGCATTTCACTCAACACTATTTTACAGATACTGAACAGAGAACTTGAACATTCTTTTGTGACACTTACAGACGTCGCAGAGACCGTCTCCAGAAACACGGCTACAGCTACCAAAATCCCCAGTTTACCCATCGTGACTGAACTGTGAGAACCAGGTGGATTACCAGCCAGACTTTTATAAAGGTGACCCCTCCCCTAAACAACATCTGACCAGTGTGCAGTCTGTGGGCCTGTATTTCTTACTGTTACATAATATTTAACCACTTCCATTACCTCAACCTCTTTGGATAACATATATAGTGATAAAAAAATAATAAGGAAATAGCTTTTTTTTTTATAGCTTTTCAACACGTGAGATAAGTGGTTTTCACTGGACATCAGTTTAGATTGATGATGGTGTCAGCATCAACTGAGTTAAAATGTGAAGTGTAACATGCAGTGGCAGCATTAGGTCTTATCAGTAGAGATCCAAATATAGCCAAAAATGTCATGGGAAGTGAAATAGCCATTTGATAAAAACCTGAGACTCCCATGTATCCTTGGACATCCACCAAAACAGGTTTACATGACCCATTTATTATTAACTTCACCTATTTTACTTGCCTGCTCATCAAGTATTCACATCCTTTCCTCAAATCAACCTTTAAAGTACCAAAAGTACCATTTCAGAATAATGTACACTATACTATTGTATTATAATTATTGATAGATTAATATACATATCACTCTAATGTTTCAGCAAGTTATGGTGGGGCTATTTTGAAGTACTTTATATACTGCTGGGTAGCTTAATCTTAGTGGTATATTATATTTTATTGATTATATTTTCTATTAATCAGAATATGTAAAGTAACAGCAAAAGCTGTCAAATAACTGTAGTGGAGTAAAAAGTGTAAAGTAACATAATATGGAAATACTCAAGTGAGTACAAGTACCTCCAAATTGAACTTAGGTACAGACTCACTGCTTACTGACTAAAAGTGAACTTAAGGATGGTCATTGCAATGGACTGATCATGCCCTGTCCTTTACATCTCAAATAGTCCATGGATAAAAAGTGAATGCGAATAAAATGGGATGTTGAGATGGACACTATCGTAAATTACCGTGTAAAAATAAAACCCTACACAAACACAGCCTTCGTAGGAAAGGTTTGTGTTTGAGTAACCATTGAAAGGTTTTTTTTAGTTTTAGTTTCCAGCTTTTGCAGTTGTGTGTTGGGAAGGCAACCTCTGTAGAGTTGACACAGCTGTCTGACTGGACTCAAAGTCCCATTGATATTGCCAATCCAACAATTAATCTTTGTTTCATCTATAACCCTCCACCTTATGCTGCAAAGCTGGACAGTAAATACTTTCAGCTCACAATGAGAACACTTTTAGTACATTTAAGTGGGTAGAAGCATCTCTCTGAAACGCTACCTAATTTACTATGGCCAGTGGATGTACATATAAATCTGCCTAATAACCTACACACCAGTATCTTCATCGCTATCCAAAAGCAACATTTCATAGTCTTAGAAAATAATCTAATACTAATCTAATAGGCACATGGCATTTTTAAAGGTATTTGGCTTGACAATGTTGTGTATTGGAAGATCTGAAGAAAAACTGCATATTGACCGGTATCCCTGAGAAATTCTAACTACAAAGATGATACAGTTCATACACAAACCAAGAGAAATACCATTTTTATTTACATTTAACTCAAAAAGGAATTCAAACATACCTCTCTTACCACCTCTTACAGAAAAGAATAATTGAAAATATAAAAACAGTCAAGATTAAATTAGTTAAATGTAATCCAGGATTTCTGTCTCCATCTCATTTTCGCTTCCCTCGGACGGCTGAAACTCATCATCATCTTCCTCTTCATCATCCTTGTTCTCATCGTCCTGCACCTCTTCCTCCGTATCCACATCTCTCTCTGGGGATTTTAAACTTAGTCCTATGCGTCTGCGTTTCTTAGGGAATTCTGGCAACACTGAGGTAGAGAAATAACATCATTTAACAAACCAAAATGTTCCAGTTAACACTTTTCAACACAATGTTGTTATGGAAGCCAAAGTCTGGTTCGCCTTTTGTTATCTGTCCTGTTCCACGAACCTCATCAATGTATTTACTCATAGAGCGTTTCTTTCACCATTCTCCTGGGGTTTTCTGTCCATATTATAAAGATACATTTGTATCTACAATGGTTAATATCTATTTAACAACGGACCATAAGTGTATGCCACAGAAGCAAGGTCAAAATTTGTCAAAATTATTTGTCAAAATAATGTGTTTAGTGCTAAACATCAGCATGCTAACATGTTCACAGGGATAATGCTAACATGCTGATGTTTAGCAGGTATAATGTTAAGCATGTTCACATCTTAGTTAGCTTTTTAGCGTGCAAACATTTGAAAATTAGCACTAAAAATGTCATCAATTAGTCTTTGCAGCCATAAAGTGTGATGAGAGGGGTCGTGAGTAGCCATTGCTTCCTTTTAGTTGGTCATAGGGCTTGCGAGCGACTTGGCTAAACGGAGGAAACCCTCTATAAGACATTACAAAGAGTCAAGAAATCTAGCAGGACAGAAACTAACCCAGGAGTGGGACAGGATTGGCCAGGTTGTGTCTACATTAAGAGCAAAGTGCTTCATCAGTGTAACTTGTAGTTAATGTGGGGTCACAAAGAGTGTGTCTATGAAGGGAATGAAGGCACAACAGCCATTTCTGGTGATGGATATTTTCCTTACTTGGTTTCTGGGCTCGGGTGACCTTCTTGATCATGGCTGAGATCATGTCCCTCAGCTTGTCTGTGGTACCGAGAACACACCAGCCGTCCCGCTCGTCACATAGCTCATTACCGCTGTTCTGTTCGACCACCTGTTTGATACTGGAGACACACAATAAGTACATTTACTCAAGTACTGCATTTAAGTACAAATCTGAGGTACTAGTTGATTTTCCTACTTTATAAATCTACTGCACTACATTTCAGTGGCAGGTATCGTACTTTTTACTACATATATTTGATAACTATCAACCTATGGACTGTGGGTATGTCCGCCCCAGCCAATAACAGCGGGCAGGGTGACGGTGTGACTCTATAAACATGTAGCAACGAGGTTACGTCACAGTCTCTGTATCTCTCCTGTTCTCTGTCTGTGTCATGGATATAAATAGGGCTAGGTCTGTTGACCGAGGGCGGGGCTGAGCATCACACACAGGGTGGGAGAGGCCACAGCGGGTCAGTTACATTCACACAAAATCCAGCAATCTGGCTGCTTCCCGCGGGGTTTGCGGCCATGTTTTTTTTGTGCTTTTGATATGTGGAAAAATCCAGTCACTTCAAATAGTGTCCACAATTATTGCAATTTAGACTAAAAACATTTTAAGACCATTTTATGGTCTTTATTATATTATCACAGTTTATGATCCCTAAAACTGAATCTAAGAGCTGGGACCATTTACACGAGATACTTTCCTACTTTTTAGAATTAGAATCCAGCACGTACAGACATCCTAATATCATTCTGATCACCCTCATCTATTTGTACAGCACTGTAATGTACCTTTCCACATCCAAGTCACAGAGCTGGTAAAACATCTGTCTGTGAGGGGGCAGCATGCCATCTCTGAAAATGTAGGATGACTCCTGTTGATTTAAAACAGAGGTCAGTTGGTATGGTAGCAGATATTACACCAAATTACATCAAAACATTAAAATATGAAATTATCACTTGTATAAATACGGACAAACTAGAACATCGGAAAATGCAATTAAGCAAGAAGACATTGAAATTAGCAAGTTAGCACTGTGCTCAAGTAATGTTTTCACATAACTAGGTAACTTTCACTGACCTTCAGCTGGTATGTGACTGGGAGTTGATCTCGACTGGTGCTCGGACCCTCTTGAGCTGGGAGCTCCATCACACTAGCTGGCTGGGGACCTGGTAAAATAAAAAATTAAAAAAAAATAAAAAATTTTAATATGTTGTCAGTTTCCCTTGGCAACAACAGTGGGACGGTGGAGATTATGAAGGATTTCTTTACATCATGTATTGATCTATCCTGTCACCCTGTTCTTTCCTTGTCTGAAGATTTGCGTGTGTACAAGTGAAAAGCCAAGAGGAATTCCAAGAAATTGTTGGGATTCCAGTAATCCAGGAGAATTCTAGCTGGGGAAATCAGATGTCTCTAATGCTCTACCCTACTTGCAAACCAGCGACATTAGTGTGCACGTTTGTACCTTTTATTGCTAGCAAATTCACCTGCTTTGTCCACAGTATATGTACGGTGCATGGTCATGCTGCTGTAACTTGGCTTCTTGTATCTCAAGATCATCTTGTGAGAACTTCCTCTAATCTTGTTCTGTGGTTTTCACTGTGGTGTGTCTTTCTGCAGTACTCATCCTGATGCTGCTCTCTTGGCTAGGTCTCTCTATGAGATATTTTAACCCTTATTAGGCTTTATTTTTCCCCCACATGAGACATTTTAACATGTCAGCGTAGGAAAAGCCCGGGTGTAAATGATAAAATGATTGATGGCTGCATTCCATTTCGCCGCTTCAGTAGCTGCTTCCTCCAGGTCAAATAAATACAGATATCCAAATACATTCACCAACTTACCGGCTTTGTTTAATGTGATAGGCAGACTGTAGTTAAGGGCACTCCTCTTGGCTTTTACTGGCAGATCTGATAATGAATACCCTGAAAGTGGGAAGAAGGAACCAACCGTCAGTGTCAGGCAAATACATTTGAATAAAACCTCCTTGACAATAAACAGTCACTGTTATCCTGCCTCAGGCTCCTACCGTGCTTGGTGCTACAGCGGATCCTAAAGTCCAGCATCTGGTATTTCTTGGACTCTTTGCTCTTTCGGGGGTCATAGCCCAGCCTCACCCACAGACTTCTCCACGGGCCTGTCACCTATAAAAGTAAATCTGACATTTAACTTTCAGTTGGGCAGGAAAAAAACTGTTGGAAAGCAGAGAACAGTCTGTATGAATCAATACACAAATGTGGACACAATAGCATGAACACAGTACAATAAAAAACAATCCAGTAAAGTAGCTTTGCAATATGAACACATGAGTTTCCATTTTAAGACATTTCTGGTCAGCTACTTTAAAGCAACACCACACTGATGATTAGTGCTCCATTTTAATATTTTATAGTTTCAAAATATATCTGAATAACATCAGGGAAAAAGAGGTGAACCGTCCTTGAAATTCACCCTTGAATTCTTTACCAGACACGCGTTTTTCCCCTCAGCTCACCATGTAGTAGGCGTAGACGGGCAGCAGCAGCTTTAGTTTATCAGGGTGGATGTTGATGTTGGCCTTGACTGCGTTTCGTGACCAGATGGGCCGACTCTCAAACATCTAGGCACAAAACATTTGGTTTGAGATAAGATAAAAGCCCAGAAAATGATGTTAAATTATACCTGTGTAAGAGCATAGAACGACTTCAACCAGATGCCATTTCTGGTGTGAACACACTGGTCAATAGAGTGACTGTCAAAAAGGATGACATGATGGAAAAAGGACTGCATTTTACTGGCAGTCCCTGGTTGATGTGAGGTGTGAATTTTTCAAAACAACAGCTTTATAAATGGTTTATGAGGAAAGAGATGGTGAATAACACTGAAAGCAAACACATCAAGAGCAAAAAAGAAATGAAAACTGTTCTTATTGTGAAAAGAACAGGGGAGGAAAATATTAGGGCTACAACTAACGACTGTCTTCCCTATCAATTAATCGATCAATTTTGTTTGAGAATAGTTTACTTGATCAAATGTCAGAAAATGATGAAAAATGATTTCCAGGAGACCAAAGTAATGTCATCAAATTGCTTATTTTGTCCGACCAACGGTCCAAAACTAAAAGACATTAAATTTATCTTGATATAAAACAGAGAAAGGCAGCAAATTCTCATAATGGGTATAATTTAATTCAATTACAGACCAGTTTATTTGTATCTTTATTTGTAAAATTGATTTTTTTCTGGAGAAGCCAGTCTCTCTGGCTTCTCAGGCACTCTGGTGTAAGTTATTGTCCCTCCTGCTGTAATAAAGAACATCAGAGTGACTTGGTTTTATCCATTATACGAATGAATCTAGCAATCAGAGAGTGTATTGTGCTTTCAGTGACTGGGAACCCTGATTTCAGCAGCACACATACCTTTTTCAGTTGTTCTTCAGCCTGCTTGTCGAGCTCCTTTAGGCAGACTCGTGTCCAGTTGATCCTGGCAGCCTCGAGGGACTCGTTGGGCACTGTGGGATCACTGAAGCTTACAAAAATGGCATTGTGGGGCCGACGAGCGCGATTCAAACCAATAAAGTTCTTCTTATTGATGGCCGGCTGGCTATAAAGAGAAAGGAGGAGAAATATTATAAGTATGTTTCTGATTAGGATATAGGTAAGATAAAAAGTTTCAATACTTTGGTTTACACACGACAAATAACCACACTTGACAAAGAGAACTAAGCAGAAGCTGTAAGGTTGACGGAGTGAATGATTTCATTCCCACAGAGCCTTTACACTGACTTTTGATTGACATCAGGCCGGTAGAAATAATCCACAGGGCAGTCGAGACGTGAGAAGATGGCCGGGGGAAGAAAGTAAGGCATGGGCTGCTCAAAGAACTCTTGATTCTCTGATTTGCGGAGGATGATTTTGTCGTACAAAGACGTGTCTTTTCCGCCTTCTGAATGCACCGCGAGGCACTGAAAGTCTGCCATCCCTACAAAAAATAAATCACAACAACCAACCACATCTATTACTTTATTCTATATCAGTCTTTTGTTTTCGCACAATAAAAGGGGGTTTTTGAAACTCCAATAATTTGAAATATTCAAAAACATCTTTTAACCTAACCTTGGAATTTGTATGTCGTTCCTATGACTCCGAGTATATCCATGTGGATCTCAGCATCCTTGGGATCCTTTTTCCGCACTCGCCGCCGCACTCTGAGGAGGAGGTTGCTGGAGGGAAAGCGGTTTCCACAGACGGAGTGACAGAAAGGGTCCTGGGGTCGGTAACGCAGCTCAAGACGTCTGTTGGGGTGAGCGAAGGTCTAGGAGACAAACAGGAAACGCAGACAGGTGTCAGATGGTGGTCAGCGGCGATGATGAAACAGCTCTGACCGGAGCAAAGATGTTGACCATTACCTTTTCACAAGTCACTTGAATATATTCACTTTCATCAAAATCAAACATAACTATCGATTTATACACTGTAGACATAGCGCCAAACTGTGAAACGTGCTACAAACCCACCCAGGGCCCATTTTGACCCCTCCTCACTGCCTCAAAATAGGGGAATAATGCATTTTGGCTAACTATCAAGCTATGTGCCTTTTAAATTGGAATACCCCCAAATTACAATATATTAGGTTTATAATATCTATAATAAAATTACATAAATGGCGGCAATAACTTAGAAAAGTATACATTCTCACTTGTCCCATAGTTTATTGCACGTAAATGAGCTATTTTAACACGGCAGACTTTATGAACTGTAACGGTATTTAACACAGTTTTATAGGACCTGTAGAAAAGGCCCCAAAGTTGGGACAAATTATGTTTAGTGTGTGATGTTCATAGGTGTAGTGTTGGTCAGTTCATATAGGAGCGCCCCCCCCCCCCGCTGGTGTGTATGTACGCAAACCTTGACGGCGCTTGTCATGAAAAGTGTGTGCTCCGCGGTGAGACGTGCGCGCACGGAGGGTGAGGGATTAGCAGTAATAAACGTCACTGCACAAGTATTGTCGTTGATATTATCGTTGATGTACCTGTAATCTTTAAATGCTGCGTAGCCATGAGGTTATTTCCTGGTTGTTTCTGATGTGTTTACACTTGGCATGTGTGCACTGTTTAAGCTAGTTGTGAGTATTGTTAGCTTCACTGGCTCTGGACGAGTGTGGTGTGCACGTTCGATGCGTGTTATGTTATTGTGTATCGCGTCCGACTGCGGCTCTGAGTGTAAATGTTGTACCCAAGTGTGGTGGTTACGTAAAAATTGTACGATGGTTGATGTTTCTTATAATGTGTGTTAATATGTATATATGCGTGTAGGTGAAGTCATAAGTGTGTTTCACTGGTATGAGTGGGTAATAGTGGTATGGGATTAGAGCAGAATTGGAATACGTTCCGTTGGCATTATAGTGTACATTAATATTATAATAATATTATATTAGGAGTACTCCTTTTTATTATGTTTATTTTAGAGATTAAGAGCTTTATTGTTTATTAATCTGTGTATTTGTTTATTGTCTTTTGATATTTAGAAAATCCACATGACCTCATTGCTGCAAAGAGAGTATTAAACACCTGCACTATCCATCACCTGCTTATTCATTGGACCCTTCTGGAAGTTAATTTAGGCCTTAAGTTGGTGTTCTGGCCCCTGAACTAACGCCAGATCCAGTATACTCCCAGTGTCTTCACTACAGGACCCAATAACAAACGGAAGTGTCTGCTCGCTCTGTTACTACCATTGACTGTATAAATATATAATATATATTTACTAATATATAAAAAGTGACCACAGTCTGTCCCACTTATGCTCCGCTTACTTTGGTAAACGCTTGTTCGCCCCCGAGAGTCTCCAGCATGTTGTCCACACTGCTGACCACCGCCGGATACTCCACACACACCAGTCTGTTGTCCCGCAGCTCCACGGTGGACGAGCTGCCGGGCACATCCACGTTCTCTGACTGACAGGAAAGAGTCAACTGTTTCAGAGTAAAGTCCAGCTTCAGCTCCGTGGAGTCCGCCATGTTGGCTCTTTTAATTGTGATATTTAAGCGGGTATATCGAGCACTGCGGTTCAAAGCTGCTGCTTCTCGGCGTGACTTTGTGTCCGAGTGCAAAATAACGCCGAGCGGAAACGCTACTTCACACACATAGTTCCGCCTGTATTTACATACCGGTATGTTCATTAACCCACAATCTGTGTTCCTCTGTTTTACTCATTTCATACCAACGAGTCGTGGATTTAAGGACTGTTCAAATAAAAATAAAACAAAACACAAGTTGCCAAAACCATTGTTGTTGTTCCAAGCCATCATTGAGGATTTTGAGGATCTAACCTGTAAAAAACCGTGAAAGTCCGCCAGTAAAGTCATAAAATGCTTGATATATTTATATAAATGCAAAAAAGATAGTTAAAGTCATTTTCTTTCTTTTCTTATACTTTTTCTTGTCTTTATATGTTTCTTGTATATATATATATATGTTAATTAAATACAAATAATATCAAACTTGTATGTTCTCCGTGTTCCCTAACCCTTTCACTGTATGTTATTCTTTTATTTCCAGTCTAAAAAAACAAAAACAATGATGCTACACTGAACTCAATGTGCACATTTGGCCACATGGTGGCAGTATAAAACCAAACAGGATGCGCTGGATGAAGGGAATGCTGCGGCTGTGAGAACGATTGAGAATCTGCCTCAAAGTTAAACACAAGTGAACGAAACTTCTTGAATGCTCTGGGCCTATTTAAATGATCTGTCTATGGGTTACTCTTTTATATATATTTTAACACCCACTAAAAGTATTTTTGTTTTGTCAGAGGACATCAGAGACAGCCGTTGTTGTCACAGGGACCTCAGTAAAGCGGATTTGTGTGCTGTCCCTCCCAGAAACTGTCAACAGACTGTCATCCCCTCAGAGAAGGAGGAACACTTTGGAGAAACAGTTGTCTGTGTGTTTACCGAGTGATTTAAGATTATGTTGTACAGGCAATTACAGCCTGATGTAGCACAGTGTTTACTTTGATTCTAGTTTGTCTTCTTTTCTTATGCCTTAAGGGAGCACAAGGCTTAACACTGGATTTGAACTATGTGGGCCTATAGCCATCTTATATTCCTTTTTTTTTTTTGAGTTGGACTATTAGAGTATTATTTTTAAAGAACACTGTGGAATATAAGTGAAGAATGACTGAAATGTCTGGTATATGCAGACATATGGTATATGTCTTCCCACATGTTCCCACACATGTTTACTTCCCTAACTGAAGGTCAGCTTGAGAATATGATGCTGTTTGACCCTCATGTGCTGGATGTGTGCAATGCAATGTGCAATTAAGTATCTACCGGTTGGTCACACTGTATTTCATCTCTGTGCATCCTATCCAAAGACTGGAAGAGTTTAAAATTAAACGCTGTAGTAAAAAAACATGCCTTCCATCAATGAGAAAATTGTCTATTTCATCTTGTTTCTTTCACACATGTAGATATCAAAAACTGACTGCAGACAAAGGTTACCCCCACAGTGGCGTTTTTAAGCACTGTCATAGGCCTGCATGTAACAAAATCCAAAATGTCACATGCAAAGTAGTAAATAAGACACCTTTGGAGCTCTTTTAAGTCTTTGCGCCATGCTAGGCTAAGCAATTAATATAATTAATTAATTATAATAATAATAATAATTAATAATGATGGGTGTCTACTATGACACAGTGCTGCTGTGAAAAAGGCCTGTTGCGTACAGCCTTATTAATGGCAGTGAAACAACTACAACACCGAAAACTGAATGTGGCTAAATGGTTTGTCAAGTACCCTTCATGTTGGAAAGAATCAGGTTTACTATGAAGAATAGGAAACTCGGATCACTCCTTTTTTTTTATTTCAGTTTATTTACTTTTCTTTTGAACTCAGTTTGTTTTGTCGGCTTGTACTCTCTTCACGTTAGCTACGTGTTCTTGTGAGTCTATCATATTCTGAAGCATTGAATTGAAGCATACAACTGAGGCATCTTTGTGAACACTATCAGAGCTTCAATAAAAACATAAAAGGTGACATTCAGCCTAGCCTATCTCACTGTTATGAAGCTCAGTGTTTTGTGGGAGGGGACAGAAGGTACCCAAGGCTCTGACTGACAATCTGTTGCTGCTGTGGTGAAGTAAGGATTTTGACAATCTTTCTCATGCTGTCTTAACTTTCTCTCTTTCTCTAGGGGGCCCTCGTCCATCGAGTATTCGTCCAGCCCTTGGTGCTATCTCAGTCCAGGGCCTGTCCGTTCCTCCCTGTAGCTCTGCTGGCTTGTTCCAGCCGTTAAAGTGTGGGGAGGGCGTGATAAGGTTATCAGACAGCCTGCACCGCCCGGCTTACTCTGAAAGAGCCTGCTGCCCTCAGATTTCACCCCCTTGCTCCCACTCACTCTGAGTATATCCCCTATCATGTCATCCCTTCTCTCAGCTTCTGCACCTCCAACCTGTGGACCCGCAGCTGGCGTCGTAAAGGCTCTTTGGCCATATTCAGATGTTTTGAAGACATTAGGCCACACCTACGAAGTTAGTCATTTTCTGTATGCAAAACAGAAGATCATCATCTGTGGTTGCTTTTGCTGCACTCTTTTAACATTTCCGCATTAAACTGTCTAAAAACGAGTAAGACTATGTTAACTTACATTATCCTAAATGTTCAAACCCAGAGAAATCTGTAGTTATTTCAAGGTAAGGGTGCATTGTATCATTTGGTTGCCTGTCAATCATGGATGTATTAAGGGAGAACTGGATACAGCATTGGAGGTGGAGCTATGTTCATTCCTGTAGAAGCTGTTCATGAAGCCAAAAAAGTTCAACAAATTACCCAGATCTTCTGCATGTGCTTCAGCATTGTGCGGCCCATAGAGCAAATGTATTAGAGACTTCCGCCGGGCGAGCTAACTAACTGGACTGGGGGCCAAATTGATCTGAATTCTGATAGTGAAACAAATCATTTCTAAGTAGTTTTACAGTAGCTTCTCTCACAATGTAAGCTTATGGGGAAAAGTATTTTTGGGCCAGTGTGCATCACTTTACACCATTGCTGTAATCACATAGTCACTGCTATGTGAAATTGGCTTCAAAGCCTGGCACTCTTCCTGGGGGCTTGATGTCAATGTCATTGAAAGTTGAGAACAGTTGGTGAATGTGACTGAACGTAACGTGAATGGCAATGTTTTTTGTTTAACAATGAAGACAACAACTGCCATGGTCCCACACGTTTTTGTAGATGTGAGCAGCACAAATTACACACCGTGCGTTTAAACACAGTGCTGCTTTGAGTTCTAACATGCTGATGTTGTACAGACATAATGTTCACCATTTTCACCTTCATAGTTTAGCATGTTAACACAATGATGGGAAGGTAATTTGTTCTGGAGGTATTTGGCCATAAATAAAAGTTTAAACAAATAAGAACTTTGACCTGATGAGCTAGATGAAAAGTCAGGGCATCACCAAGGTTAATAGGATTCATTCTCTGATAGCTGTGCCAATTCTCATTCCATCCAATAGTTGGCAAGAAAAGCCAACCTTCTGGTGGCGCTAGAGAATAAGTCAGGGGATCACCAATGTCTGTAGGATTCATCCTCTGCGAACCATGAATGTCTTGGCAATCCAATAGTTGTTGTGTGATGGTGGACCAATAAGACAGCAAAGACCAGAGGAGCAGACTGTTTGAAAAAATAAATCTAATTTTGAGTAGCGTAAATGTTATTTTTCTGCTTTACTATCCTGTTTATCATCTCACAAAACTACCCACTGGAGGGGACCCTATAGGTTTTGAAGTAGACTCTCTGCTTATAACAATGCTGCCTTGATATTTCCTGGGAAGTGTATGAAAGTGAAAGATTTCTGCTTTATGTTATTAAGGAAAACACTGTAAATAAGTTAAAACGTCTATTATTATTATTTATTGCGAAATATTAAGTCATTCTTTTTAAAATGTTATGGCATTTTCTGTTTGGTTTTATCAGGGAAGCATAGGGACAGAAAGAAGGGGATGGCATGTGGTTCCTTGGATACCACTCACCACATGGCTTACATCCAAGACCACTGGGCTAACTAGTATCAGCATTTACCACTGACATTACCACTGACACATTTGATTGGCACGCCAGACAGGCGCGTGGATAAATGCATCTATTGCAAGAAAATAAAATATGTTTTGTGAGGAATGAATGTAAAAGCGACCCTTAACAGAAAAGGATTCCTGAGGCTGCCACTGAGGGATGTTCATGAGCATCTTCAGAGTTGTTGTTTTCTGTTTCCTGTTTGGGCTCTTTGTACAATGATAACAGGCTGGATGTAACTTGAAGGCACCGGGTTGTGTTGCCTACTTGTGAAATAGATTAAATCCCAGAAAAAGCAACCACAGGAAATGTTGGTCTTTTTTTTCTTCTCCACATCACTCTGGTATGACACTTTGTGGGCGTGGCCTCTTGGACGCTTCATTGCTGTACTTTATCTATGGGAGGGCAGGACGCACTGGACCACAACACAGTGTCACTGGCAATCAAACAATATCACACCCCGACAATGTGTGACAGCAGCGGATGTGATCATACAGTATCTTCCTGTATCCAGTTACAGAGGAAATCTGCTGACATTTATTTTCTGTCTGTCTAAAAACAAAGTGATCACTGGCATGTCATTCAACACTGGCTTCACATAGGCAACACAATTCTATAGCTTTCTGGTGTTTATAATTATGACTTTAGGACCTAATTTTTGTAGATTTGTTGTTGTTGTTGTTGTTGTTGTTGTTGTTTATGAATATAATTTGCATGTTCTCGATCACTTACAACAACAAAACCTTTCAATATTCTGATTAACAGATGCTTTAAGTCCTTTCTGTCATCACTCAGCTTATTTCTTCAGTTAATAACTTTCGAATGCCAGATTCTGTTTCAGTATTATTTTTATTATATACTAAATCCATATATTCCATATAATATCCATATTTATATTCTTTGCAAAATTACACTACAATCATTCATGAGAAATAGAAATATAGTTTTTTTGAACAGGCATGAGAAAGTACTAAAAGCAGCCGCTGTAGTTAGTTTGTTTTTATATATTTTCTTCTATAGTAACACCTTTTCCTAGAAATAAT